AGCTGCAGAAATGTAAACCTCGTATATACATATATGGAAAAAATATTTCTGCAGCCACTTTAGATAAGCTTATCTACAGCTACCCATTTATAACTATGTTCTCCCGGGAGAACATAGTTATAACATTAAAGTTGTTTTTTTTCCCTCTCTCCACGTCAGCAGACAAGTTTTGAAAAGTAAGTGGGGAGAGAAAAAAAAGCAACTTTTAATGTTATAACTATGTTCTCCCGGGAGAACATAGTTATAAAGGGTAGTTGTAGATAAGCTTATCTAAAGTGGCTGCAGAAATGTTTACCCCTATATATATATTGATGAAATCATTTCTGCAGCCGCTTTACGTACAACAACGACAGGTGTATGGTTATGATTTTCTATATTTAATACTTTCATCCTTTGTATGGTTATGATTCCCTGCATTTAATGCTTTCAAGTATATATATGGCAAATATTTGATTGTTGCACGTACAACAGCTGCAGAAATGTAAATCCTATATATTTTAACTGTCCTATGATAAGGATTATTTTTTTCATACTCTTTTGAATCGGTGCTTAGGTGCTAATCATCACTTAGATTAGAATATTATGATTGTTTTAATGCATATATATTAGTAATGGGCCTCCTATTCAAATTCAATTAACTAATATTGAGCCTTGTATATATACTCCTAACATTATGGAGTTCCTTCGATGTATATTGCATCGATATTGATACTGGACACGATATAATACGACGATATGTTAATTATAAAAAATATGAGATTTCGACACATTAAGACACATTTTGATAGTAAATAATTGTAACGCCTGACAACTTGCAAGGATCAACGACTGTCCCCACAAACTAACACAAGACTTTTCAGCATGCTTTGTCCTCAAAGCACACTTCCCAGGAAAACTTCCCAGGAGGTCACCCATCCCAGAATTGCTCCAAGTCAAGCACGCTTAACTATGGAGTTCTTCCGTTCCGGGCTACCGAAAAGTAGATGCATCTTGTTAGTATAGATAGTACCAATTAATTCTTATAAGCTATTCCCAACTGTACCGTCCCATACCAGCACAGTCTCTGAAATCCCTCTCTTTCGGGTGTTGATTCGATTCATTCATGTACTCCCGTCCCTAGAAGCCTGCCAGAAGCCGCTCCTTGTTTGTGCCCTTTCGCACCATGCCCTTTCACACCGGTGATCACTCCCCGCCCTCGTCAGCGCCCGGGATGTTACATGATGTAACCAATATTATTAAAAAATTCCTCCCATCATAGTCATATGTAAGTGATTCAAATTCAATACATGCATTCACATTACTAGTGGTAATTTACATAAGTTCCTAATTTTCACGGGATGTTACAATAATATTTTTAATTTATATAGACTATATTATATTTAATATTCAATAATTTAAAAAAAAAAGCTAAACTTATAATACCCATTAATTTTGAAAAGAAACATAAGATGTGAGTATTTATTCAGAAAAATATTTCTGCAGTTAATGTGGATAAGTTATTTGTATTTACTTCCAAAACGACGTCATTTTGGGATTGAAAGATTAGAAAATTATAATTATAAAGACCATAATAACCCTGAAATAAATTAAAATTACAAAAATACCATGATTTTTGCCCCAAAACTACGTCGTATTGGGCGTACTGTAGATAAATTATCTGTAGTAACTGCAGAAAGAAAGAACCCATATTTACTATTATATTTTCAAATTGAAAATCTTTTATAAACTTCAGTGAGATTTATTTACTATCCATTTTTAATTTTTATTATATCAATTTGATAAAATATTGGTCAATTTTTTTATGATATATAATAAAAATTTAAATATTAATTATAATCGGGGTGTAGAAGAGTGTCGGATATGACACTTCATGTTTTATGAATGAATTTAATTTTTAATAAAGTATTTAAAAATGATTACATCCAATAATATATTGTCATTTTTATTGAATAATCATGGCATCTTATGTTAAAATAATAAAATTAGTTAAATAAAATATTAATATAAATTTAAAAAATAGTTTAAATTGAAATGCACGGCAAGATAAAATCAAATTCATACTCTATTTTATTTTGATATTACTTTTTATAGTTAGTAAAGTGGGTTGAACTCGATGGATCCAACCCACCAAAATGGAACAAATACGTTATATATTTCAACCCACCAACTACCTATATGCTATTATTTTATTGAGAATGTTATTTTTTACAGAAAATTTTTTCTACAGTTACTGCATATAAGTTATCTGCATTTACTCCCAAAACGACGTCGTTTTGAGATTGAAATATTAAAAAATTATAATTATAAAGACTATAATAACCAGACATTAATTAAAATTATAAAAACACCATGATTTCTGTCCCAAAACGACGTCGTATTGGGTTTACTGCAGAAAAAGCGAACCCTATTTTTTATTCACTTTTGATTTGGTAAAATAAGAAATTAATACAAAAAATAAAAGAAAAATTAAGGCTATTTTTTGTATTTAAATGTTAGTTTCTATACAAATCAAACTAGATGCTTATGAAATTCTAGTTATAGGATGCAATGATGTGTTCGTTTGCAAATATTCATATACTTGATATCATTATTTTGTTATATAATAACACTGAAATTATTAATTAATCTTAACATATGATTTGTACAGTTATGTTAAATGAAATTATTAACTTAATCCTTAAATTATTTTTTCCTTGACTTATCGCTTGATGATTTTTGTAAATATTTAGAAATAAAAAATTACCATTGAAATGTTTGTTATTTTTTAATATTTTATATTTTAGGTAGGTTGACCCATCAATCCAGCTAAAAGCAATATGAATTTTTGTGGGCGGGGTGAGTTGCCATGTTTTGCCAACTCTACAATTATTGAAAGTATGTTGCATTTGAAAAAAAAAATTGATTAAATTCGTTTTTTCTGTAGTTACTGCAGATAAGTTATCTGCAGTAAGCCCAATACGACGTCATTTTGGAGCAGAAATCATGGTATTTTTGCAATTTTAATTTATTTCAGGGTTATAATAGTCTTTATATTTATAATTTTTTAAAATTTCAATACCAAAACAATGTCATTTTAGAAATAAATACATATAGTTTATCTGCAGTAACTGCAGAAACATTTTTCCCATGTATTAATTCATGGCCACGTTCATGCACAATCTTAACCTTTTAATTGATTTTATATAATTTCTATACAAACAAATATACGGACATAATCAATTTATTATTTTATTTTTTTTGGTAAATGGACATGATCAATTTATATTGGTACAAGAATAAAAAATTTCATACTTCATTTTAGTCATTGATTTTCATACATTTAACGATTATAATTTATGTATAAAAGATCATGTCTTCGTAGGGACATAACCAATTTATATCGGTATAAAAATAATAAATCTTAATCTTAATCTTATCCGTTGATTCTCATCCATCAAATGACTATAATTAATGGGATGATTCTGATTCATATAATTAATCATTATTTAATATTTAATTTAGCCTGTACCAAAAATATATTTCTTTTGGTCAATGCTAACATTTGAAAGGAACACTCTTTCATTTTTTTTTAAAAAGAGAGTAAATATCCTTTTTAGTCTCTGGCAATATCCACGAAGTCTGTTTCAGTCCCTAGCAAAGAAAAGGGACAAAATGGTCCTTGAAATAACAAAAAAATGGCAACGTTGATCCTTCTGTTAACTCCCCCGTAACGGCCCAACTAACGGTGCCCATGTGACACGTTAGTGTGCTGACGCGGCTTGGACGTTTGACAACGTGGAAGAAGAGACGACGACGTTTTGTTGCAAATGGGTTGAGAGCTTTCCAAATTAGCGGACGCCGTCGTTTCTTGCGTTGAGAATGAACCCTGAAGATGAAAATCGCCCAAAATGCTCAATCGAAACCTAAACACCAAAATCCCCCAAATTGATGAAATGAACCCTAAACAGAAATAAGCCCCCAAATTCTCCGGACGTTGATGACCGAAAATCGACCACAGTGGAAGACATCTACCAGATTTGCTGGGGCGTAGGAGAAGATGAGTCTTTCTTCTGGCATGGGGGATCAAGTGAGAGTACTTCAATAGGGGGAAGAACACTCACAAGGACCGCCGGTCGTAGGTGCAAATGTGGGTGACAAAGTATTGTCTATACCTCCAAAACTGAGAGAAACCCAAACAGGGCTTTCCTTGGGTGTACTAATTTCAAGGTATACATGTGTAATCTGCCCCTTTATTAAGTTGAAATACTTGGTAATCGTGGTTTGTTTTTTTTGGCAGGAGAAGAAGCCATTTTGTGATTTTTTTAGATGGGTAGATGACATCTGTAATGAACGGATGGAGCTGGAAGATGCAAGAATTCACAATGTGGAGTTGGATGTTGCTGAAATTAATTTCAAGTTGAAGTATGTGGACATGATGATGAGAGAGTAAGATGTAAAGATTAGTGAGCAAGAAATTAAGCATCATGAGCAGGAAAGAAAGTTGAATGATCGATACCTGAAGATGGTGGAAGAGTTAGATAGGATGGACAAACAAATTAGGAATGTTGGTAGGTCAGCTAGGGTCTTAGGTGCTGCTTGTGTAGGTGTGATCATCATGTGTATGTTTGTTGTTAGTGTTGTAACAGTCAAAACAAGTTACCCCAATGTATTTTTCCTTCAATAGTGTAATAAGTACTCAGTAATCTTGTCATCCAAATTAATGAGGAAGGATGTATTATATGACCTATTCTGTGTTGGTTGGAATCTGTCTGCATCATACATTTCTGGATTAGTAATAAAGAAGCTTTCAATGTATTCCTTTATGTCTGATTGCATACTTAGGCATGAAATATTGCATACTTAGGCATATTGCACACTTAGTATGGTATATTGCATACTTAGGCATGTAATGAATGTGTCAGTTTGCTGCATTGTATCACAAACCAAAATGAACAGATATAGATGCCTAAATCAAGAAATTGATGTTACAAAAGTTCCATGTTGGACATTAGATTTCTCAATCATGCCAAAACACGAGGGCCATTTTGGTCCCTGACAAATTGTTCGAGGACCTTATTGGTCCCTGGCAAAAAGCACGGGGCCCTTATTGGTCCCTAACCAGAGAAAAATAGGCACATGAAGACATTGCATTTTTATGCAGTCCAAGTTTACAAAGAAGAAGTGCAGAATGTACAAATACAGGGTGCTGTCCAATTTGTTAAAACAGAAGACATGGTATGACTTGCATTTGACAAGTAGAGCCTGGATTGCTTCTCAAAAGCTCTCCTAAGTAGTCTCTCAATTTTGCATATTGCTCTTTTTCACACCCTTCAATTCTGGCCTTGGCTTTATGAAGTGCCTTGGTCACTTTTTTCAAATGGACATGGACCTTGTACTCCTCTTTCATATGTTCATAGGCCTCAGCCCTTGTCATGTTCGACTGTGTCATTAGCCTTTTTTCTAACTTATTTGCAACCCAATCCCTACTTTCTTTCTTGTTTCTGAAATATCTGCAGCAAGTGTGGGAGTCATTAAAAGTTTTTACTTGGAAAATGGCCATTTTGTTGTTCCAAGCACAAAAAATCATCCAATCACATTCTTCATTACTACACTTGGCTCGGGCTCTGACTTTGTCATTCTTCACCCACTTGAATTGTCTTCCTAGACTAATATTGTAGTCTTTGATAGCATTTTTAAAGTGTTGCAAACTCACAAACTTCATCCCCAGCTCTAAGTGTACATGACCAAACACCTCATCCACATTAAACTTTGGATTGCCAACCCTTTCAGCCTCCTCAGCACCACTTGAAGGAGGAGTGTTCAACTCTTCAGAGTTATACCCATACCCATCCTCCTTGAAAGATATTTGCTTCTCCTCCTCTTCTATTGTATCTTCCCCTGCCACCTCCTCAACAACCTTTTTTTTCTTCTTGTTACACTTTTTTTCCAGTAGCCTTACCTATACACTCTAACTCCTTTTCACTCTCTGTTTCATCTTCATACCCTGGTGGAGGAGGTTTATATGGCTCATCCTCCACACTATCATCTGAGTCAGTAGAAAACTCATCACCATTTCCACTATCATCTTTATCACCTGAGGAAATGTGATCAGATCCACTTCCAAATGACTCGCGCTGATTATCCTCATCCCTATCACTGCCTTCCACAGGTGCAGGTGCAATAATATCAGGGGTTGCAATGCAATCTTCAAAATATATTTCTATGAAGTTTCCATTACTTAATGCAGCCTTAACCATCTCCACAATATCAGAGGCCGTACTCAGAGGCCTTAAACCTACGTCTAAATCCATTGCGTTTGGCATGAGCCACAACATCTGCTTACAAGTCTCATACCCATAACCCTTGAACAGAGTATCAAGGTCACGCAGGTTGACAAAGTCAGCATCTATCTCAGGTAAATCAACTACTTTGCCATTTGCATAGGTTAGGACCCCTTCATCATCTCTGATTAACACACCCCCATGATGATACCTTATGACTATATATTCATCCATTTGTAAAAAAAAAACAGACCACATGACAGTTACTTCACAACGTTAACAACCAATCAGATTTTAACAACAATATGATTTTGCATATATAACCCAACACTGGCGTGTAAACATACAGGGCAGTAAATTGCAAAAAAATGTCACTTTTACAAAATATGCATGCAATACAGGGACTAACATCAGGGTCCACAAAGCACTAAAAAAATGCCAAAAAACTTTTCAAACCGGGACCACAGACATAAAAGGGTTTGTTTTTTGTAAACCCTAACCAAATAAACAAACAATGGACCGCACATGGGGATCATATCCAACATAAAATACACAACATGTAGTGAGGGGGGACCACATATATGGAAGGATTTCTGACAAAACGTACCTTAGTGCATGTAAGACAACACCCACAATCGAACTTTCTTTAACCACCAAAGAACCAGCCGTTCCAAATCCTTCACTGTTCACGCTCGATTGTCTTACCAGAAACCACTGTCTTTGACAATGCTCACCGTTCAACGAAGCTTCGGAGGTAAACAATGGGGTTCCTCGCAAGTTGAAAAACTTAAGTGAAATATGGATGTCTAACTACCGTTCATTCCAGTGTAGTTGATGAGTTGTCTCAACACAAGAAACGACGTTGTCCGCTAATTTGGAAAGCTCTCAACCTATTTGCAACAAAACATCGTCGTCTCTTCTTCCATGCTGTCAAACGTCCAAGCCGCGTCAGCACACTTACGTGCCACATGGGCACCGTTAGTTGGGCCGTTACGGGGGAGTTAACACAAGAATCAACGTGGCCCCTTTTTTATTATTTTAGGGACCATTTTGTCCCTTTTTTTTTTGCTAAGGACTAAAACGGACTTCGTGAATATTTTCAAAGACTAAAAATGATATTTACTCTTTTTTTAAATTGACCAACGTCACAACCGCAATGTGATCACTGATCACCGGTGGTCCTTAATAATTTAACATGGGTAAATGATTACTTTAGTGTTTTTTTTTAAATAATTTAATATTCAAACATATTATTAATGTAATGCAATGAATTTCGCATTCCTTTATACAGGACTGTTATGTGTTGTACGTGAATAAAACAAGAAATTTATTCTAAACAAAAATTAGCCATAATTTTATTAATTCCGTAAGATTAATATCACATGTTTCTCATACGAAACTGTTATAAAATTAATCACATGATTAATTTTTGGGTAATTGTAGTCTTATGTCACAGCAAATTTTTTTTATCTCATGCACACTTAACTTGAAGTGAGGCCCACCACAAAAGAGAAGAAAAAAAAAAAAAAAGAAATGGCACAAGTATCGATGTATGGACATAAAATAAAAATAAAATCCTGTTGCATAAGATTAATATTGCCCTTAATTTTTTTTAAAAAAATATGTGAATGTGGGAGCTCTGCATGTGGGCATACCGAACTAGTCCCATAAGAATTTTGTGTGGGCCCACTTTTTTTTTTATCTTAATAAAATATTTATTTAAGATTTAAAAAAAACACATTAACATGGTGGTTTAACCCAGTAATCTTGCAGGCTTTCAGCTGATATATTATTAACTTGACTGCGAAGAAATATTGAAAAGTCAAAGAAATGTTTAGATGCATATAATGTATGAAGCGAATAAATTATTATTTCTTTTATGAGATAATTTTATATTCTATATACATAAAACTGTGTAGATTTATATTCTCTGTTTTACTCTTTTCTTTTATTATGGCTCCACATAGGTTCATACATATTTATACTTTTACAATATGACAAATATTATTCTCTAAAACAAATCCTCTAAATTGAAATTATTTTAGTTGAACTATTTTTTTTAATTTTCGTAGGCACACGACCTTTTAATTTACTTAATTTAATAATTTAATTATTATTATTTTCATTTTATTTTGTATTTTAATTATTATTTACATAAAAATAATTATATAAACAACGTGCTGCTTACATCAGATATTATGTTTAATAATTTTGCATAAAAAAACAACTTAGTCTTACTTTTGACCCTCAATTTATAAATAATTTAATAATGAGTTTTATGTTTATTATGTTACTTAATATAACTCCACTTTCCTAAACACATAATAAAGTAGTGGGGTCCACATATTTTTCTTTTTTTTTCTTCATCATTTTACTTTCTCTCTCCTTTGTTGTGTGCGTAGAAAAATAAAGTTATGTTATGTAACATAAATAACAAACAAAAAACTCTTTAATAATATTTACCAAAAAACAAACTTAAATAAGAATATTTGGAAAAGTCAAACAACCCATGAAAGTTGAAAATGCGAATTTTGGAATAAAGAATGTATTGTCATAAAATAATTTAAAAGCTGAGAGAGAAAAGCCGCCTTTCTCCTTGGAGGCTTTGACCAACGAGGCCTCATGATTTTTGTGTGTTGTTCAGTCTCCATTGCTCATTACGACTTTCATTGTGATCTCCGCACACAATGTATGCAATGCAGCCACCGCCACCGCCGCCGGAGAATCCAGATTCCGAAGCTACCGGTGCTCCTTCTCTGGTCAGAACTTACCACGCCTGGAAAGGCAATAACGTAAGTTACAAACACAACTTTTTTTCTTTCTTTCTTTCAAACTGATCGCTTTTCAGTAATTGATCCTTTAGGGCTTTTGCTTCGTGAATCGTGAGTTCATTTCCGAGTTTTCCGTTAAAATAAATGAATAAATAAAATCTGAATTTATTTGGAAGCAGCGCGAGTAAATTTATTTATTTTTCTTGCGCGTTGACTGATGCAGATGTGCAGAGAGAGCTTTGATTTTTTGTTCATGGCGAAAAATTCTTAAGTTTCTGTTGCAATTTATGCATCCTTTTGATAATGACTCGCAATTTCGTTAGCTGACGAATGCAGCAATGTGCCTTGCTTTCCATGTTATGCTGTTCCTGACCAATTGAGTTTTATACCTTTCTTTTGGTCCTTGAGGTTGTAATTGATCTCTGCCTCCCAGTTAGATGTGCATTTCGTAATGTTCCTTCCAAGAATACCATCAAAGTAAACGCGTAAGATACAAATTTGATAATATTCAACTTTTTATTTGAATTATAGAGAATTATGACTTAATATTTATCTAGTTAGATTGAAGCAACAAAGTTATAGATGCGCGTATATAATGATAAACAGTTATCTCCAGGAATAGGATTTCTATAATCTGTTTGTGCAAAACCATATTCAACTTTCTACATTTGCACTATAAAATTCTATGAACTACTCTCATGTCAAAACAGTATAAAGGGTATTGACTGTTGTTATATGAAGCAACCGATCCTTGTTGTTGGTCATTTTTATTTATTTGTACAAGGATCAATATTTTATTCTTTAATACATTGGTTTGTTATAATGGCTTTCTTCCTGTTCTGAATTCGTCTCTCAAATTTTTCAGGTATTTTTTCTTCAAGGGAGGCTTATATTTGGACCTGATGTGAAATCAATATTTATATCTATTTTTCTTATAATCACTCCTATTGCCGTTTTCTGTGCTTTTGTAGCCAGGAAACTGTTAGATGATTTTCCTCATCACTCGGGATTGTCAATATTGATCATAGTTATTGTTCACACACTGTTCGTAAGTTATTTTCTCTCTCTAAAATCTATCCCCATTCATTGATTGATGAAACCATGATTTGTTTTAATATGCTCAATAATCGCTCTCATCCCCTAGTATGATCTTCTAGACTTCTAGTAGAGCCATCGCTTGTCTTACCTTATCTATTTAAGTGATGCATATGTTCTCCTTTTATATGCAAATGACTACCACTATCTTACTTCAAGATACATTCTGGTAGAGGTTTTTCCATGGATCTTGCACAATAGCAGAATTTCACATTATTTTTCTGTTGTAATATAGATATTTACTCTGGAGGCACGACCATCTAGGTCTTTTCATCTCTTAGTTTCACCGTATTTTGATTATGCTGTAATGCTGAATTGGTATTGCAGTGCCCTAAAGGAATGCCAAACAGCATATCCCATTAAACCCTTCTTTTTTATATCCAAGTATTCTCTGTACCATTTCCTAAATGTAAGATGTGATAGATGTTGAGCTTTTTTGGATCTGATTATTTTTTAGGATACACTGGTTTTTTTCCCTTTTTCCAAAGCCCTCTCTCAAATTTTTTTGATAATAAGATGATTTGAACAAAAAATAAGCAAATCCAAATACACGTTAACTTTGACTTGCAAAATCAAGAATCAGTGCAAAAATTCTTTCACTTGCTTGTCTCTCGAAAAACCTGCAATGAGAATGATGACTTGTTATCTCGAGGCAAAGTTTTAAATCATCCAGAAAGACATTTTTCAGTTATCATAATGTTTAACACTTAAAATGCTCTGTTTATTCTATCTTACTTGCTTGCAAGTGTCTCTGCATACGGAACAATTGATGCTGAAATTAGAAGAGTTTTTTCCCATAACCCCTTACCGATAAGTATGCTCTTAGTTACGTATCATTTTGGAGCGTTGTCATTTACTGCTAAGATAAGTTCAGTTGAAAAGTCAAAAGGCATTCAGAGTTCATCTTAATTTGAAAGGAAATTCATTTTCAGACTGGAAGTGCAACATGCCTTGTCTAATTATTTTTGTAGACATTTTGAGTTCAGACAGCTTGCGTATTTTGCTGTCTATAAATAATGTTTATAGAGATAATATCTGGATTCCATAAACTTGAAGAATTTCTTGTTTAAAAACATGCTGCTGGCTGGCCTGCCACACATTCCGAATTGGAGACAGAATTTGGTTGAGATTTGAGGGGGAGAAGATATGGGAGGAGGGAGTATAATTTTGAAATGAAGCAAAATGTTGTAGGTTCTCATAAATATTAGTCAGGTATAAAGATCTTGTGAGCTGCTTTCTTAACAACCCACAAAAAGTTATATAAACCTTAGCTCTTTGTTTTCGTACTAAAACTTTTCACAATTGAATAAATCCAACATCATTTGCGTACAACTATGATACTGTTAAGATATGAGTTCTGGAAAGTTTTCCTTTTCTATTCAACTATTTTCACCTCTTAAAGGAGGGATATTTATACAAGGGACTCTCAACAATCAAATACATAAAAATAGGAAACTATCCTAACTACTTAACAATAATCAGAATAAATTCTGTAACAAACAAAACATTCTTATCTCTAAGGAACTATAATTCAAATTCAATTTATATTTTCAACACTCCCCCTCAAGTTGGTGCATGTATATCTGTCATGCCCAACTTGTCAATGAGTCTATCAAATACTTTTACTGAAACACCTTTTGTTAGCACATCTGCAAGCTGGTCTTCTGATCGAACATGGGGTATCTGGATCACTTGATTTTCTAAGTTTTCCTTAATGAAGTGTCTATCTACTTCAACATGTTTAGTCCTATCATGTTGAACCGGATTGTGTGCAATTTCCACAGCAGCTTTGTTATCACAAAAGAGCTTCACTGGCTGATCATATTTTATCCCTAAATCAGCAAGTATGCTTCTTATCCAAAGTAGTTCGCAGATGCCATATGACATTCCTCTGAATTCTGCTTCTGCGCTGGATCTTGCTACTACCTTCTGTTTCTTGCTCCTCCATGTGACTAGATTCCCTTCTACAAAAGTGAAGTACCCGGAAGTAGACTGCCTAGTAGTTTTATCTCCAGCCCAATCAGAGTCTGTATATCCTTCTATGCAAGCCTCCTTATTTTTTGAGAATAGAAGACCTTTTCCTGGTGATCCCTTCAGGTATCTAAGAATACGATATACTACCTTCATATGTTCTTCACTAGGAGAGTGCATGAACCTGCTCACTACACTTACAGAGTAGGCAATGTCAGGTCTAGTGTGTGACAAATATATTAACTTTCCTACTAACCTTTGATATCTGCCTTTATCCGTTTCAACTTGTCCTGGATATATGCCAAGGGAGTGATTCATCTCAATCGGGGTGTCACACGGTTTACAAGCCATCATTCCAGTCTCAGATAAAATGTCCAGTGTATATTTCCTTTGACACATGAATATCCCTTGTTCAGATCTTGCAATTTCTATTCCCAGGAAGTACTTCAGTTGTCCTAGACTCTTCATTTCAAACTCAGCAGCAAGTTTTTTTTCCAATATTTTTATTTCTTCTATATCATCTCCTGTTAGAACCATATCATCTACATAGACAATTAAAATGGAAATTTTACCTTCCTTTCGTTTAATAAACAGTGTGTGGTCCGAATTGCTTTGCCTATAGCCAAACTTCTTCATTGCAAGTGTAAGTCTGCCGAACCATGCTCTTGGTGACTGTTTGAGACCATATAAGGCTTTATTTAACTTGCAAACTGTATTTTCTTTTGCCTTTACTCCTGGTGGAACCTCCATGTAGACTTCTTCCTCTAAACTACCATTCAAGAAGGCGTTCTTCACATCAAATTGCTTTAACGGCCAGTCTCTGTTTGCTGCTATTGATATTAAGATTCGGATGGTGTTGAGCTTAGCTACTGGAGCAAATGTGTCTTGGTAGTCTATCCCATACTTCTGAGTGTATCCCTTTGCCACAAGTCTCGCTTTATATCTATCTATGCTTCCATCTGCCTTTAGCTTAACCGTGTATACCCATTTGCATCCAATTGTCTTCTTTCCTTCTGGCAAATTTGTTAGACTCCAAGTTTGATTACTCTGAAGTGCCTTCATTTCAAAGTTCATTGCTTCCTTCCATTTTGGATCCTCCAATGCTTCCTGCACACTGTTAGGAATAGCTACAGAAGATAATTGATCAATCATTAAAGCATATGATCCAGATATCCTATGAGATGACACATAGCTGGTAATGGGATATTTAATTTTTGCATTCGGGTCTGGTTCATAAGTAGTCCGGGGTACACCTTTATTTTGTCTTTCTGACCTTCTTACTTGAATATCCGAATCAGAATTTGGTAAAGTGGGATCAGGAATTACCTCAAGAGTAGCTTGTGTTTCAGAGTTGTCCATAGCAGGAGATTCAGTTATGAGAGGTAGACATGGTGACCCTTCAGGTGTAGGAGGTTCTGCATGATCGGGACTGGTGTGTAGATCCGTGGCTGAGACTTCTGGGGAAGTGAGATTTTGTGCTGATGTAGGAGTTATGGTCACAGGGAAGGAAAATTCTTCTTCTCTTATATATTTAGTCTCCCCCTGAGAAGAAGGATGGAGGACTCCCCCTGAATAAAAAGCTTCGGATTCCCGAAAAGAGACTTCAAGTGTGACATGCAATTTTTTAGTTGTGGGATCGTAACAACGGTATCCTTTTTGGAATTCAGAATATCCGACAAAGATGCATTTTTTCGCACAAGGTTCAAGCTTACTGCGGAGGGGTTTAGGTACATGAACATAGGCAGTGCAACCAAAGATTCGAGGTTCTAATTTAGTGACATGAGGAATAGAGAAATAGGATTCAAGCTTCTGGTGCGGGGTGAGGAAATTCAAGGCACTGGAGGGAGTACGATTTACGAGATAAGTAGCGGAGAGGACTGCCTCTCCCCAATAGGATGAGGGAACATTCATGCCAAACAGTTGGGCCCGGACCACTTCTAAAAGTTGTCTATTCTTTCTTTCAGCCAAGCCATTCTGCTGAGGGGTATAAGTACAAGATGTTTGGTGTTTAATTCCATGGAAAATTAGAAAGTCAGAGAAGGGTTTATTTTTATATTCCAGGCCATTATCAGATTGCAGAATATGGATGGAGCTGTTAAATTGATTTTTAACCATACTATGAAATTTCTGAAACATAGAAAATACTTCAGCTTTATTTCGAAGGAGTGAAATCCAAACCATCCTAGTACATTCATCAATAAAGGACACATAATAGTGAGACTGGGAAAGGGAGGGAACCTTAGCAGGTCCCCATACATCTGAATGAATTACTTGAAAGGGGATACAACTCTTATTGGGACTGGGGTAAAAAGACATGCGATGGCTTTTAGCCATGTCACAAACAGAACACCTAAACATAGAAGGACTGCATCTAACAAATAAGTGAGGAAACAATTTTTTAAGAGAATAAAAATAAAGATGTCCCAGTCGCCGATGCCAAAGCCATATTGCAGAATGAGAAGACTCAGAAATTAGAACTTCAGAAGGAGAAGAGACTGGCACCTTGGTAACCGAAGCTACTGGGTGCTGGGAAGAACCATGTTTGAGGTGGAAGAAGTAGAGGTTGCCATGTCTAACACCATAGCCAAGGATCTCCTGCGTCTGGACGTCCTGAAACTCACAAAATGTAGGCCAAAAAACCACAATACAGTTAAGGTCTGATGTAAGTTTACTGACAGAAATTAAGTTAAAATCGAGAGATGGTACCACAAGGACCGAATGGAGGGTGAGGGTCTGTGTTAGGGAAATGGTGCCCTGACCAGTGATCGGGGCCGAGCCACCATTAGCGGTGGTGACAGTGGTTTTATCACAAGGAAAGGACTGTGTCAACTCAGAGGCATCACGAATCATATGATCCGATGCAGCAGTATCAATTATCCAAGAGGTATTCCCAGAGTATGCAGAGAAAGCAAGAGATTTACCTAGGATTCCTTCATAGATAGCATGAGCTTGAGGAGGAGTAGAGGTGTCTCCTTCAGAAGATGACCGCAGAGCCTTAGAGGGGAAACGAGCAACCAAGGCAGAGGAGTCAGAGGAAGGAAGTGGACGATTCATAGTGATACGCTGCTGATTTTCACGGCGGAGGAACGCATATGTGCCTTCCAGGTCCAGCTTCGGATCTTTCCTGAGAATCTCGCCGCGAACATGATCATATTCGGAGTCAAGGCCGCTCAGAAAAATGTAGACACGCATGCGGGCTAAGGATGAGTGCGTGTTGACCACATCGTTGACAGTGGTTGCTGAAGATGAGATTCGGTGATCGATCTCTTGGAATATGGCCAGGAGATCAGTGTAGTAGGTAGACAGGGGACGACCGAGCTGCTTCATGGAGAAGGAGCGCTGATGAAGCTCGAAAAGACAGGTCTCGTCGGATCCGTCATAGAAGGTCCGAAGCGCCGCATCCCAAATCTCTCGAGCGGATTCCAAGCGAATAAACCGCTGCATCAAGGATGGCGTCATCGATTCGATTAGCCAACTCTTTACTTTCTTGTTCTCAGTAATCCAGGTGCCATAAAAAGGATCAGTGGTGGGTGGTTTCACGGTGGCTCCGGTGAGGTAGCCGGACTTATTTCTGGCCCCAATACGCATATCCATCAACTGGGACCAGAGAGGGTAGTTGCCATCATCAAGAAGGACGGTGACAGGGAAGGAGGAAGCATCGTTTTGGATGATGATGTTGGGAGAAGGAGCGGAGGTGTGAGACGCGTTTGGGGAGCGTTCTGGAGAAGCTTCTGGAGATGTGGGAGAGGAGGCCATTACGGCTAAAGGAAAAAAAAAAGAAATGAGGGAGTTGGGTCGGGTCGGGTAGAAAATTAGGGTTTTGGGAAATTAGGAAAAGGAAAAAAAACAGAGGAAATTAGGGAATGGGATTGGGTGGGTCGGGTAGGAAATTACGGGAAGAAAAAAAAGGATAAATAGGATGGGAGTAGGGATACTGGAGAGATTAGAAAAAAAAAATTCAATGATAAAATTTTTAATGGATCGAACACTGCTTTGATACCATGTTAAGATATGAGTTCTGGAAAGTTTTCCTTTTCTATTCAACTATTTTCACCTCTTAAAGGAGGGATATTTATACAAGGGACTCTCAACAATCAAATACATAAAAATAGGAAACTATCCTAACTACTTAACAATAATCAGAATAAATTCTGTAACAAACAAAACATTCTTATCTCTAAGGAACTATAATTCAAATTCAATTTATATTTTCAACAATTTATGGGTGAACAGAATCTACAGAAAACCATTGTTTTTATTCCCTACTCAAATGAGCAGAAAATGATGACTATATATAGGAATTTTCAAATTTCGGCATAGATTACTTTTTCATTTGTTATCGAGATCTGTTATAGCTCTGTTTCTCATTCAGTGCTGTACTCCTAAGTCTTAAAATGTGTTCCCAGGTTCTGATCACCCTTGTTCTGACCTCAGGAAGAGATCCAGGCATTGTACCTCGTAATGCTTATCCTCCGGAACCAGATGACCATCCAGCGATTGCAAATATGAACAATGGACAAAGTCCACGGCCACGTTTGCCACGGACGAAGGACGTAATTGTCAATGGTATACCTGTGAAAATCAAATACTGCGATACTTGCATGCTGTATAGACCCCTCCGTTGTTCTCATTGCTCAGTATGTGATAACTGCGTGGAGCGATTTGATCATCACTGCCCATGGGTGGGCCAGTGTATTGGATTGGTAATGACCATTCTTTCATATCTTCACTGTGATGGTATCCTAAGAACAGTGTCTCGGTCATTAGAAGATTAATGTTTCCTCTTTCCTGCTAAGTTTTTAACTGCTCTTTTGTCTCACTAATCTACTATTTGATGAAATCTTCTTCTTGCCCTCGTGAATTCCCCACAGATAAAATCAATTTTAGTGGGATATTCGAACTCTTAGTTTACTGTGTTCAAATGCTTAGAGTCACTAATAAAAAATAGATACGGGTACAGTCACTATTACTATTGAAAGAGGGATAAGGAGGCATGTCTAAACAACTTAATCATGGATGTTGAATATATAGTCCGCTGATGGAGGTAGTGCTTAAAAATTACAGGGAATGCGCAACAATAGAATTTGTTATGGAAGGAGGGATAGTAATGGCCCTTGGAATCATGTCTTTGGCTTCCTAAATGGATATTTGAAAAAGTTCCACGTGTCTATTGAAATTCATAGTATTTGTTAATTATGCTGATCATATTCTTATCCTTTGCCAGAAAACAAAGTAATTGATGATTTTTAACAAGTGTTTTGGTATTTTTCTGCTTTCATGCCTAATACACTTACAACGGCACGTGGCAAAGGACAAACAACAATATAACAATTATATTTATAGTAGATATGATTAATATGATCATAAAATTGCTAAATCAGCTTCTTCTTCTTTTCCCTTTTTGCTTGTATGTACATTGGCTGCAGCGAAATTACCGGTTCTACTACATATTTGTCTTCTCTGCAACTCTGCTTTGCTTGTATGTACATGGCTTTAGCTGGGTCTACATTAAGAGGATCATGGACTCTGAGGAAATATCAATTTGGAAAGCAATGACCAAAACTCCCGCATCCGTTGCACTTATAATCTACACTTTCGTTTGTGTCTGGTTTGTTGGTGGCTTGACTGTTTTCCACACGTATCTCATCAGCACAAACCAGGTTTGAATGTCATTCAGTTCATGATCTTTTGGACCTTGCATTTGACTTTTAACTGTTTGTGGGTGTATCCAATCATCGTTTATTACATTTGTAAAGAACCTTGGGATACACCACCCCAAAAACTAGCTCAAAGGGTGGGAGTGCCCAAGACCTTATAAACTCCACATTAGTTGCACATACAACCAATGTGGGACTATATATCTCAACACGCCCCCTCACACAAGAGCCCAATTGGGCTTGAAGAGTGGACAATGCAACAGGCCCAACCTACCTGCTTGCATTTGACTTTTAACTGTTTGTGGGTGTATCCAATCATCGTTTATTACATTTGTAAAGAACCTTGGGATACACCACCCCAAAAACTAGCTCAAAGGGTGGGAGTGCCCAAGACCTTATAAACTCCACATTAGTTGAACATACAACCAATGTGAGACTATATATCTCAACACGCCCCCTCACACAAGAGCCCAATTGGGCTTGAAGAGTGGACAATGCAACAGGCCCAACCTACCTGTGCTAAGAAACGCCACAAGAGAAAGTGGGGGGCGGCGAGGCTCTAACTATATATCTCAACACGCCCCCTCACACAAGAGCCCGTTGGGCTTGAAGAGTGGACAATGCAACAGGCCCAACCTACCTGTGCTAAGAAACGCCACAAGAGAAAGTGGGGGGCAGCGAGACTCTAATACCATGTAAAGAACCTTGGGATACACCACCTCAAAAGCTAGCTCAAAGGGTGGGAGTGCCCAAGACCTTATAAACTCCACATTAGTTGCACATACAACCAATGTGGGACTATATATCTCAATAGCATTCTACATTTCTACATTTGAAACCATGACGTAGCCTGCTATAGAGATGATATGGTGACCTGTAAACAACGAAACACTTGGGTGCATTTCTAGTTTTGTTTTCTTACATATGTTGATGAAAATTCATTGTTTTATGTCCAGTCTACTTATGAAAATTTTAGATACCGGTATGACCGACAAATCAACCCATATAACAGAGGGATAGCTGCGAATTTCAAAGAAGTATTCTGCACTAGCATTCCTCCATCCAAGAACAATTTCAGGTCTAAGGTTCCAAAGGAGCCATCAGATTCATCTCAAAGAGTGGGTGTTCAGTCCCTGAGCCCTATGATGAGAAAAACCACCGGGAACGTGGAATTAGTAGGGAGGCCAGTTTACAATGAGTCTGACGAAGAGGAAAGTGATTATAGAGATAGGTTGACTAACGAGGAACTTAGCAAGGATAGTGGATTGACTGATATGTCGACGGATTTAAGCAGGACAATTCGCACGGAAGGTGGGGAGGGACAAGATATTTTATTTCTTCACTCTCTGGGGGAAAGAACCAGCAGAAAGTGGGACATAACTCCTGAAGTTCTGGACAGAGTACCTGAAGTTGGGGAATCAAATTGCGCTGCTAGTGACTGTAGTAGTGGGCCTAGTGGGAACTCAACTAAAGCGGCTGCACTGCATAGTGCGTAGTGTCAGCCTGTCAGGAAAATTTCAGAGATGTAAATTAAAAGTTCAAAGGAGTAATGGGCTAAAGAAAAGAGTTATGTTAAAGTTGGGGTTGATAGAGAAATAATGCTTGTCTTTTGGTTAAATGTGGTTGGAATTTGCTTTACTGATTGCAAGATCGTTATCTGTGTACTGTGTGGTGATCTCCTAATTGCTTTAAAAAAGGAGTTTGTGTACAGAAGAAAAATAGAATTTGTAGAAAATGATCATTCAAATCTGTATATTACACTTTTTATCTTTCAGTTTGCTTTTCCTTTATTATATTCCTTTGGCAATTTCATTAGCCGGAATTGTTGATGTATTGTTATGAGAAAATGTGGGTAATGTGATTATAATAACTCTAATAGAGATATATCCAGACACTTCATGTTTCGTGAAGAAAAAAAAAGGGTCTTAAAAGAGATTTTGGCCACATAAGTTTCATGAAGTTTTGATTTGATTAAAAAATGTAACCTGATGTCTGATCGATTGAATTCAATGGGCTCGATAATCTTATTTTGGTGTAGAACTTATCCGTAAAAGGTTCAACTGACTCAAACTTGAGACAAGCGTAAAACCCATCCATAAAGAAGCCTGATTTGAAATTTTTGGCTTGGTTCATTACAAACTCATATTAGCATAAAATAACAATAATAAAATTATAATTTATTCATTAGATATAATCATATTATATTATGTTAGAAATTTATTTTACGGGCAATATTAATTAATTAGTTTTGTATTTAAAATTAATTGGGTTAATGGATATTCTAATATTGTTATTGTAACTAGCCCATTGTGATCAGATAGAATTGGGCTTCTAGCATCTGTTGTTATTGAGCCTAGTTGGGCAGCAGTGTAGGCTTTAGTGTGACTCTGGTTTTCCATGATGGTGGACCCAGTGGACACAGAATCTTTTCTGGGTTATTAGCTAGGTCCCCTCTCTAACCTATATATGTTGGAGTTAAACTCCATGAGCCATCATGCTCCCATCGCTGAGGCTGCCTTTATCGAAATAGGTGATAGAGAGGAAGATCTGGCATGTAGTTCCCTCCTTTCTTCCACTTTGTGACGATCTAATAAGGTACACACAATCCCAACTTTGATTTCATATTGTTTAAGTATTTTATAATCATATACATGATTCAGGGTTAAAATATTTCTATCGGTATCAGAGCCTTATGTATATGATTATAGGATCCATGTTGTTGAATGGAATCAAAGAATTTGGGATTTTTTTATGCATTATTTCATGAATTTTTTTTTGTATTGAATTAAGAAACTTAGGGTTTTGCTCTACACGTCGAAATCTTTACGTTAGTATTTACTGAGTTTTTGTTAGCTTCAATTAGCTATCCGACCTAAGTTTGCTATAGCTACAGTACCTTCATTCTAACATTTAAATGGCTTCTTCTTCTACGTTGTTAACCCTTTATATTTCATTTTGTTGGGTTATTTAAAGGGAATTGCTTTTGTTATTTAACATAACCTAAAATCAAATTTCCTATTCTCACAAAAGGAGGAGAGAGAAGAGAGAATAGGAAAAAGAGAAAAAATTTAAAGTAGGTCCCATATAAATTTTGTGTGTGTAGGAAAATGATTTTATGTTATGTAACATAATAAAAACAATTCCCATATTTAAAATACTTTGCGATAAAACATGGTTGCATGTGCTTGTCAGTGAGATTAAACTTCTCATTATTGTTTCCGCTTTTTGTTAGTCTGTCGTTTTTACATTTTTTATTTTATTTTTATTTTTAGTGAAATGTCGTTTTACCATTTGTCTTGCGGTATACTTGGTTAGCTATGAGATCTTTATTTTTATTTGTCTATGGCGTACGGAAGTAACGTAGAAGAGAATGAAATGGATTAATAAATTTTAGAAATATGGAATTCCCTATAAATTACGTTTAAGCTATCGGTATCCAGAAATTGGAGAAGGAAGACCTATAATAAGGTAGCTGGTGTATCTGCAGTATTATGTTAGTGGTTGGTTTTTTGTTACTTTGACAAGTTGATTTATTTATTTATTTTATTCAAAACTTTTGAAGAAGTCCACGGAAGTTTTGTAGTGAAAATTTGTTTGTTTGTTATAATATACTGTTCCATTTTTTTTCAGTTCCGATTTTCATGGCCAATTTTTGTTTACTTGAAATGTTTATTTGTTTTATCAGTTCCGATTTTCAAAGGCATGATTAAATATTTTACCGTTTGAACATATACATCTATGGGTTTATCATCTATCATTTAACATGATCACAAAAAATTTCCTACACACACAACATTTTGTGGGGCCCGCAGCAAAAAAAAAACTTCAGCACGCAAAATGAATCTCTATAACATAACACAATCACTTTTCCTACAATATAACTCTTATAAAACCCTACCTCTATTAGTGCCAAAATAATAGATGATCCAGAGTATCAAAATTTGGTATTTGTCTTATTATATTAAATGTTGTGTCATGGCCATAACTGTTAGATACTTTTTCGTGATATTTGTTGCATGATATCAGTTACTTGAAGTAATATTCCGTGGAACATAATCATTAGGTAGTGTTTGGTTGAAGGTTTATTTTGGGATTGATGAGAAAGTGTAAGTGAATATTGAAAAATACCACGTTTGGTTCAGGTTTTTTCAAAAAATACTAGGCAAATAGGATAGATGGAAAAATGACTTTTGTGTTGATTTTTGGATAAAATTCACTGTTACAGAATACCCCTTGAGATGTGGTATTTTGAGATAACTGGAGAAGTAAAAAAACAGGTGCAAAATTTCTCCCGAACATAGATTTTACATATTTAAATAAATTTCTCTGGTAATACTTCAGTCAACCAAACAACTCTTTTTACATTTTCCTACCAAACTCACTTTCCAACTATTTCCCTATCAATTACATTTCCCTAGTAAAAATTTTTCTCCTGAACCAAACACTACCTTAGTGTTTTGTTTAGTGGTTTTACTGTAAACCCATGATATTAACTTGTATGTGTATATATAGTATCACTATTACTGTTCCGCTTTTCCGTTTTTTGTTTTGCCAATTCCGATTTTCAAGGCACAGTTTTTTTTTTTTTGGTATATTGCCAGGAGGTATCCCCATTCAGCCTTTTCCGGGCACCATGCCTTCGGGGTACAGCCCGTTTGGGCTAGCCCCTCATTGTAACAGTGTGTGCACTAAGCTTCGCAACCAGAGAAAGGACTAGACTAATCCCCCAACCGAAGATTTTTGACTTATCCTCTAGCCCCCACAAATTTTTTAAGAAACTGCTTGAGGCAGGGTTTGATTCCTGCATCAAACAATCCCTCAGGAGCTCAGCTGCCAACTGAGCTACCGTTAGGGGTTAGGCACGGTTTTTTATTTCAACAGAAACTTCTTGTTATATAAATAAATTAACAGATTATTATATTATTTTAACAAGAAACGATTTTTTCGGTATTTTACACTCTCAGGGAATTGAACCAGACGTGAAATATTTCTATTCATATATTTCTAATGACATATCACTGTTCGTATACCTTCTAGATAACCTTCATCGTGATATAATATTACTGTTCTTTTTTTACCGTTTGAATGACATATGACAATAGATATCTTGAATGACATATAACAATAGATATCGAGTTATTATATTTGGTATAGGGATGTTATATTTGGTATATTGTTATTATATTGTTACTGTTCATATACCCTCTGTCCACAGTACCGTTTCGGGATGTTACATATAATATTGTTATTATATTTGGTATATATATATATATTTTAGGATATATCTATTCTGTTAGATATATTTATTTTTATCGTTACATTTTGTTGTTGTTGACTGATTCAATTTAGTAGATATACTTCTTGAATCGCATCGTCATATTTGTTTGAAAAAGATATATCTTACTGTTGTCTAATAAATATATTAATTCCGATTTTATCGATTCCGATTTTTAAGAAGATTGTAACAATAAGATATATCTTATCTTTTGCTTCCAGTAAAGTCAAATGGGTTTGCAGTAACGGATTCAAATGTGCGAAGATTAATAAGCTTCAACAATAAAATTGGTTTTATATTGTTCCTATTATTATATTATTGAGTAGCATATCCATGCTGTATTTTAAATATACGCTGCATTATTTGAATTTTATATAATAATTTTAAAATTGCTTTGCACATCCAGTAATGATATAAACGAAATATTGTTTTGATACACAATTTTAATAATTGTGGTTGACATATGAGTGGAATTTTTCTTGATTTACAAATGCAATATTTTTTTTAGAAACACATGTTGGAAAAGTGTTTCATGTTGTTTGAGCATGTTTGGTTCATGAGTTATTATTATTGTTTAATAATTATTATATGTTAATTACCTGCCAAAGGGAGTTTTTAATATATAATAATAAATTACATGAAGATAGATTTTATTGATGGGAATATGTAATTGAAAATTATTTATCTGCCCAAAGGGGATAAATTTTTTGAAAATTACGTATGATGTTTTTATGTTGGAATTAAGGAGATATATAATTTATAAAATTTATCTGCCCAAAGGAGATAAATTTTAGACAATTATATATAATTCTCTCCGTTGTTAAATCTTCATGTGATAAAAAATAATTATATATTATATACTCTGCCCAAAGGAGAGTCTATAATATTTAATTATTTTTGTTATTGCTCATGACTATATTGCGTTATGTGTGTAAATCAGTTAACTTTTATGTTAACAATAATAATTGTTACGGTTTGTGTGTATATCACGAAAGAAGATATTTCCTATATTGATCAATTTGGATTTTGCATTATTATTTACGTGTCCCATACAAATCATTGTTACGGTTTGTTTTGATTTGGGTGTCGTTTATATATATGTTTGCATGTCATTTTTTAGTTTGTTGTTTTAATTTTTTAAAAGAAGGTTGAGGCTTCTATCAGTTGACCATGAATATAAAGAATCATGGATCCCCAAAATAAAGTTTTGTTGGAATGCGTACTGTTAGCATTGTGGTTGTTGAACCTCGTTGGATATCTATTTGTAGAAATATATGCATTGAGAAGACATATCTTTAATCTTTTAGTTTCCTTTTTCTAAAATATTGGGTGCAAATAAGTAAATAAATTCAAGGGCAGTACCTGGATGAACAAAGTAAATCGCGAATCTTTTGTATTATTATTTTATTTTTATTTTTTATTTTTTTGTTTGATCTTTTCTACTGAACAAAAGAAGATCGAAGCCTTATTTTAGTTTCAACTTTTGGAGATTGATTAGTTTGCTTAATAAGTGGGTGGGGATCTGGCTTAAGTGTAAAGGTTATATATGGTATTTCTTGTTAACTCTTCAGGAATCTATATTTCTTAGGCCTCTTCAAATATTTTCTCAGCATGCTTCTTTACATTTACTTTGGATATTCTGTTAGTACAATTAGCTTCTTGTAAAGATAACTACCCAAATTGGATACATTATTCTTACCTTTCTTGGGACTAATTGGAATGTTGTGTAGTGCAACATGTTGGGCATTGTTGATATTCTATTATTTTGAATTATTATATGTTACAAATATGTCTGGTTTTATATTGAGGTTAATATGGAATATGTGTACTTAATTTTAATATTAGAATAAAAATTGATTTTCGAAGAATTTTTATTTTTTTTATCACCTTTGAGAATGATTTTGACACATATTTCTTATTTGAAAGAACTTTGATTTTATGTTTTTTTTGTGTGATAAAAATTAACTTATGTTAAGCTCTTCAGTTATGAATTTTATTTTTGGGTATATTTTGGTGCACAGTGTATTAAAAAAATTAGCTCTCAATTGATATTGTTATATGATTTTGTACTCTCAGCCTATGTTGCATGCTGTGATATATTTTTTTTGTTTATTGGATTGTATGCTTCCGCTTGAACTGTTTAAATGTAAAAATTATTGAAGAATGCTTCTAGTTATTTCATGCAATTTCCTTCCCAAAAGGGGTTATTGTGTTTTAATTGGAAGCTTAACTGTAATAAAATTATTGGAGGTGCATTGGTCTAGGTGATCTATCTGCCCAAAGGAAACAGATCTCTGAAGTCAGTGTATGCTAATTAATTGATTCATCTACATGAAAGTAAGTGAGAGTAAATATATTTTCTTAGTACTTTATGTAGATGACATTTTATTTGCTAGTAAGATGTTGATTTATTAACTAAAACAAGAGCCTTTTATCTAAAAGCTTTGATAAGAAAGACCTTAGAGTAGCTTCCTTCGTGTATATAACATGAGTTTAAATTCTTTTGATTCCTTTGGTTAGTGGGAGTCATATTCAGTTTGTTTATCTAAAAGCTTTTATCTATGCAAACTGATAATTATTTTGTGATATTTGTTTGAATTATCGTAATTGATAATCATCATTATTATTATTTCTTCTGTCGACTGAGAAATATATGTATGAAATAATATCTTTAAGCATGTTGTGAGCTTAAAGGTGGTTGGATGTCACAAATTTTGAGATCTCATGTTGTATTGTGACATTTTGGTTTATCCAATCTCATCAATTTCATGTCGTTTGGAAATTGTGTTAATTCAATTTCATGTCGTTTGGAAATTGTGTTAATTCAATTTCCTGATGTTTTGAAATTGTGGTAATGCAATTTCATGTTGTTGAGAAGTTGCATTACAGAGCGTAATTTCATGTTGCTTGGAAATTGCACTGATGTAATTTCATGTGGTTGAGAAATTACATTGAGGACCGATAAGAATTAGTGTGTCACATTGTTGATCACATTTTGGCACTAATTCTTACTACGCTAGTAGGCCTTGATTCATGAAGATGTAATACTTATTGTATGTGAGTATGGAAGGTCATATGCCATGATATTTTCGGTATATTGATCGCCATATTCCTATGATGATGTTATGTTGGATTGAATTGTGTTGAGATGCTGGAATTGGAATATTGTTTTTCAAAATTGTGGCCACGTAAAATTATTTTTAGTTATTAACCCGATAGAGTCGTTTTCTAAATAAAATGATTTTCAAAATAATATTACATTAATTAATATAGCCCAAGTGGGAGAATGTTAGAAATTTATTTTATGGGCAATATTAATTAATTAGTTTTGTATTTAAAATTAATCGGGTTAATGGATATTCCAATATTCTTATTGTAACTAGCCTATTGTGATCAGATAGAATTGGACTTCTAGCATTTGTTGTTATTGGGCCTAGTTGGGCAGCAGTGTAGGCTATAGTGTGACTCTGGTTTTCCATGATGGGTGGACCCAGTAGACACAGAATCTTTTCTGGGTTATTAGCTAGGTCCCCTCTCTAACCTATATATATTAGAGTTAAACTCCATGAGCCATCATGCTCCCATCGCTGAGACTGCCTTTATCGAAATAGGTGATAGAAAGGAAGATCTGGCATGTAGTTCCCTCCTTTCTTTCACTTTGTGACGATCCAATAAGGTACACACAATCCCAACTTTGATTTCATATTGTTTAAGTATTTTATAATCATATACATGATTCAGGGTTAAAATATTTCTATCATATTAATCTTGAAACAATCCAGTCCCGTGATCAATATGTCAACATCCCACTGTTCCAAACAACCTAGCCAAAAGCCGAATACCATGCAGATGCCATGGGCGACTAGCCTGCAGGAGTTGATGAGAAAGCAGAAAATTACAAGTAGCGCTTTAGGACTAGAAATTGTTGTATTGATGGGTGTAAGAACAGATCATGTTTAATTGCTATGATAATTGTAATTGGTCGAGATCAATTTTAAAATTCAAAACTTCATTCATGATTATATCGAATTGCATATTCTGATTAGATTTTGAATACCAACTATTTCACTTCTGAAAAAATCACCAAATTCATTTGTGCATAACAGAGAAATAAAATCCACCAGTGCGGTTGAATAATATATCAACCATGTACTTATGACTGCTTATATGGCAGCATCACAGACCGAAACCCCATTTTCGTTGCTTGTTTGACAACTTAAAATAAAGATCCATCCGTCCTTCACACTTCCCAGTCACACAAGCTATAAGTTGTAGAATATCAAATATTCATCATAGTTATACAACTTTTCCCCCCTCCAAATTTCAGAGATGCCAAAAAGAAAAAAAAGTAATTGAGAAGATAAAATAATTCTTAAAACTGCTAAACATTAAGAAGTTAAAATATGACAGCTCATGATCTTCACTGCATACTCTGAAACCTTTTCATGATAAGGACGCTCATCTCAAGATAACGATGTGCACAGTTTGAAAGACAAGTAGATTCACTGGAACTGAACTTACTCCCAGGTGTACCAGTGATGCATTTGTCCCAGCATGTGCTTGTCAGCTTTGCCACCATTTCATTAACCATGGCTAATTGCTGCTCTTGCTGCATTTGGAGAACAGAGTTAAAGTTTTACCACTTTACTAAGGCATGGAAAAAACATTTTCTTCTTTATGCAGCAAATCTGTAAGATCACAAGCATCTTCATGAAAGGAAAACAACAATGCCCAGAAAGAAGTTACTTACTTATAAGTAGTAGAACATCAACTTAAACCTCTAGGTACTAATAACTGAATGTGGTATAAGTATACCAATCAGAAAATGAAACTTAGACATCACATTATGCACGGACACAGCATAAGAAAGCTAGCTAGAACTGCTAATTTTTATGCCAGAATGGATGTTACAAAATTGACACTTACACTATCTACTCAAAACCCTAAAATCATTTTCTCTATCATCTGATTTTTCCTTCTTTATTCAAAGAAATGACGCCTTAACTAACTGTGTTTTAGTTTTCTTTTATACAATCTGGTCCATGCATGACAGCGTTTCTAATTGCACTTTTTACTCATTCTGCTTATTTTAAACCCTCCCCACCACACCCTTCGAAACTTTAGGGCCTTTTAGCATATATCTGCAGTTCAAACAATAATGGGTTTTAAAGCTTCCTCATTGAGAAATGAGAAGTATACTTCTATCTAAGTCTCGAGAAAAAATAAATGACAATTATACCAACAAAAATTGGCAAGTTCAAAATTGAAACAGTACAGGTCTAAGATGAAGTTTATGCAAGCAAAATTTGTCAGTGATATTCTTATTTGTGTAGCAGACTGTAGAATATGATGATTGGCAAAGTTAAGGTGTAACCAAGAAGATATAGACAAACATTATTCACAGAAAAAGTGTTTTAGCCATAGTCAAACACCACATGAACAGTTGCTGAAGTGCCACTAATCACTTCTTAAATTTTGAAAAACAACAATGATTAGATAATTTAAATTGCATTACACAGATCTCTTTACTGCAATGATTAGGGTATGCGGTTCTTGCTTTTGCATGACAATCCAGACTTATTTTATATCCATAACAGAATCTACCTTCACTATCCAACATACTTATTCTATTTGAAGTTTGAGTTCCCAAGTTTGACAGCTCATATTTAAAACCTAAAGCTTGTGTTCAGAGTTCAGACTGAGTTTGACCACCTAGACAAGCTTCATCATTTCACAAAAAGAAAACCTAAGCGACTGAACTCCACAATTTCCACATAATACACTCTACCAAGAAACATGTTCCAGATTACCCATGTACTGTTCAAGTTCAAAATACATTAAGTCTCTGATGCTAAGCAGTTGAAAAAGCCACAAACTTTAAGCTATAAACATTGTGAAACCAATTAAAAATGTGTAGTCTTCCAATTATTTTTTAAACGATAAACACGAGAGGGGGGGAAACCAGTATACAGAAAATCCACTCTTTAATTCGGCCAGAGGTCCCAAAAAGGAAACAAGGTTCTCGGAAATCAGAATTCATATGAATCAACTCCAACAACAAACACTATAGCTCAACCTTCACTGTTCTTTCCTTGCTTCAACGTAATCACATGAACGAAGAGAAGTATATATATAACTTACAGAGTAAAATTGCTGCATTTCAGGTGAGTTAAGATTTGAAAGATCCATGGAGATTGGAGAGATGATTCGGCAGTGGAATCTTCAAACGAGTTCTCACAAAAACCCTAGTAGGAGTATTCAGTGCTCGTGGCGAAACGACGATAAAATTCGTGAAAACCCTCTAAAACGACGGGACGATGATTAATGTGTTTGAAAAATGACCCACGCATACCAAGGGAAACGGCATTTTGGGCCCAATTGATTAAAAGAAAGGCCCTAAATTTGAGAAAACAAATATAAGGAACAACTTACCATATATATATTTTGGGATATAATTTTTTTATATTGTAAGAAAAAGTTATCTCATGTTGTAGAAATAAAAATATAAGTGGGACCCACAGGTAAGAGGAGAGAAAAAAAAAGTGGTGGGACCCAATCTCTTTTTATGTGTGTAAGAAAATTGTTTATTTCGTATAAAATGAAATAAACATAACCCATATATTTTTTTTGGATACATCAGGAATCAAATACACACATCCTAACACAATTTACCTTGACTTCCACTACTAGGCTAGCCCTACTGGCTACAACTTATCATTATTGTCAGGCAAGAGTTATGAGAAAAAAATAGTAGTTTTTTTTTTGGTAAACAAAAAAAAATAGTAATTTTAATAAAATTTTAATTTTATTTGATCTAAGAAATAAATTACTTAACTCTACCCATTTAATTTTCAAATTGATTTCTGAATTGTTTGATGAAGAGTTTAGGTCTGTTTTCCTTGATAGGGTGAAGACTTACACCCCCTAGTCTTTCATGTCCCATACTCTATTAATTGTGTTATCTCAAGTGAACTTCGATGTCTTGCTTTAATTTATCATCAAATAAATTTGAAATTGATGATGAATAAAATATTAAAGTGATAATTTATTGAAGGAGTTTTCATTTGTCCTTTAACATGATATGGTAAAGTTTCTTACACACACAACATTTTGTGGGGCTCGCATTTTTTGAAGCAAAAAAAAACAAAAAACTAAGACACGAAAAACGAATCTCAGTGACATGATACAATCATTTTTCCCACAACATAACTTTTATAAAATCATTTATTTAATATCTCATATAAGTGTTTATTCTAATACTAAATTAAATATGTATTAAGACTTCAAGATTATTATGTATATAACCGTATCTCTCTTCGGACATCAGGTCATATATCATCTCAAAGTTAGTTAATTAGTTATCTCTTTTTATTATTAAAAATTTAATTATTTGTTTATAATTTCAAAGGATTAATGTCGGATTGAATTTGTTTACAAATATAGTTCATTTCCTTACTTTGTATATAATTAAGCTTCTGATCGAGTAATGTATGAATTATATTTGTAATGAATTAAATTCTCAAAATTGAGTTGTGAATGTTGGCGATGCTAATTAACTGCAAGCGATCCTGATAAAAACAATTGACAAAGTTTCTTATGCGTTAAGCATAGTTTGCCTTTTCTGCTATAAAGCGCAGCTCTCTTTGGCATAGAATTTATGAACCTTGAAAAGTAATGCGTGAAAGAAAAAGAATGAAAGATTACGATCACATGATTATAGTAGAGAGGCTCCACCTATACATAAATGACGACAGAGGAGGGGAACCCCAGTTAAAAAAGGAAACGATTGTTTAGACACTATAAACTATAAAGAGAAGTGAGACCCATGTGTAGAATAGAACTACAAGACCCTCGTTTAAAGGATAGTAGGCTTGTTATCAAAAAAAAAAAAAAAAGGATAGTAGGCTTTTTTTATTTTTTTATTTTTGCTGCTGTCTTAAGCAAAGGGATTCAAACATGAAAATATGCAAGTTGGAGTTTAATTTTCCTTTTAAATTGCTAGCGAGGGGGTAAATCTTTCTATTAAAGAATTGTATAAACCATTAAAAAAGCTCTCATCTTACATCTTAGGCTTTTGGGTTGAAATAGTTCTTTACTCGATATCAGAATCACCGGTGCGATTCCCACTGCCTACATTTAGTTAATAATTAATTATGTCATGTGTGAGTTTTTTAGTACAAGTAGATGGACTTTGTACATTGTCCACTTTTCAAGCTAATAGACTCTCGTGTGAAGGGACATGTTAGAAAATAATATAAACCATAAAAAAGGCTATTACGTCTAAACTTTTGAGTTAAATTAGTTCTTGTTAACATTAAAAAAAATAGGTTCTTTAAATCAACATCTTCTTGGTGAAGGAAAGTACCAATCCTTTTTTTTTTTTTTTTTTTTGGGGTACAGGAAAGCTTCAGTATCTCTTAGTTGACTAGGTACATGTTTGATCGTGATTTTTCTCTTTAGTGAAAACATGGCCCTATTGGTTTTCCTTTTTTCGTTTTTCCAATTCAATTCTCTGGAAACTTTACAAAAAAAAAAAAAAAAACTAACTAAAATTAAACGAAGCCGAACTACATTGTGGTAAAGAAAACTGTTAAAGAAAAAAAGAAGCTTCGTCTTTAGAAAGACTTGCAGCTTGACATAAAGTGAGTCGATCTGAGTCATCTATGCATCAACAATTCAAGTTCACAAATAAAAAAGAGGACAAAAGCCTAATTCATATTATCATAGTCAATTTATGTGCAAATCTACTAAGAAAACTTTTAAATTTTGGTAAATTTAGAATAAAATTTAAAAAAGGCAAATCGAGGATAATGGGTTAGTTAGATACTGATTTATGAAACTTTGCAATCCCATGTAAATTATATAAACATAAAATAACTTAAAGCTTAGTCATTTCTCTGGCAGAAAGGGAATGTAGACACCGCAATCACATGCAAGACTTTCCTATAAAAGTAACAACCCAATTTTGGAGAAGCATTTTAGTGAATGGGTCAGACCCATATTAGATAGGAGTGAATCAATGTTTTGGTGGTGCAATATATACCTATATAACAACCAATATGGGTCTTTTTTAATTTTGATCTTTCGGATAAACAATGGCTTAATTGAAGTCATTTGTTGTTGACAATGAATTAAACGTATGAGCTTTATACAGTATATATTTCTATAAACTCTTGCCCCCAAGTTTTTGTAACCGCGTGTCTATTTCTCAGTTCATGATTGTTAAGAGATGTTGGATGAAAATGGCAATCAAGAAATTTCTCAAATTTGTGGTAGCTAATTTGTGAAAAAATAAAATAAAATAAAATAAATAAATAAATAAAAGCAAAGAAGAAAAATAAATAAAATTAAATATAAGGATTAAAAAATTATATATTTTCAGCCATGAATAATAAACCAATATACTCGAATGCAATTTTTTCATGCTACATGCATGTTAAATAACACCCCCAAGTGTTTGTTTTTTTGGTAAACACCCCCAAGTGTTTTCACTCATGCATAATTCTGTATTTCAAAAGTATGACTCCACATGACAACAATTTGTCGATTCTCTTAATATAGAACTGAAAAAAAAATCTAATAGAGCATTCATAAGCTCTAAAAATCCGAGTTGAAAAATAGTAAATAACCTATACAATACTAGATGAACAAACTCCAGACTAGGCAAATATATATAATTTGTATTTACCAATATATATATATATAATTTGTCATGTTATATATGGAATAATTCGCCAGGTATATTTCCTCGTAAGTAATATTACGGATTAGGAAAGCATGACTCCATGTGGCAGCAATTTATCGATTCAGTTAATCAAGAACGGGAGAAAAAAAAATCTTATGGGACATTCATATATAAGCTCCAAAAACCTGAGTCGAAAAATAGTCAATAACTCACTACTAGAAAAATCTCAATTTTCGACGGAAATTCATTGATTTTCCGTATAAGTTGGAATAAAAGGATTGTGTATTCATGTGAAGTACACAAAAGATTGAGAAGAAATTGTTTCGTTAAATTATGAAATCAGTTTTGTATTGTGTATTGATATGTTAATTTTTAATTGTTAATTTTTCAAGGTTACAATATATATTTATTGTACACCGCTCGCTATTTGTATAAGCCTTTTTTAATACTTAGCCTAATATATCATATGGACTTTGTTCATTTAATATATTGATTAGGGAGATTTGATTTTGATATGTTGTTTACTTTGATTATATTTTTTATCAGGTGCAGTACAAAAAATAGGTATTCATTTTGTAGAGAGAAATTTTAAAAAAAATTCTAAAAAATTTATATGGAATTTTTTTTTCGTTGAAAATCTTTACATTAGTTTTTGACGAAATTCCATTGATTTTCAGTTGAAAATTTTTGACGGAATTTATTTTCCGTCGAAAATCTTTACATCAGTTTTTGACGAAAATTCATTGATATTTCGTTGAAAATTTTCGACGGAATCCATTTTTCGTCGAAAATCATCAAAACAATTTTCGACGGAATTCCATTGATTTTCTGTTGAAAATTTTTGACGAAATTTATTTTTCGTCGAAAATATTTAGATTAGCTTTCGAAGGAATTTCATTGGTTTTCTGCCGAAAATTTTCAACGAAATCTGTTTTCCATCGAAAACCATCACAATAGTTTTTGACAGAATTTCATTGATTTTTCGTCAAAAATTTTCAACGGAATCTTTAATTCCTTCGAAAAAATTATCAACGAAGAGAAATTCGACGGCTTGAATTCCATCGAAAACTTCATTTTCGACGAAATTTTTATCATTTTCGACGGGATTTTTCTGTAAAAAAAAATGAACTTTTCTAGTAGTGACCTATACAATATTAGATGAACATACTTCAAACTAGTATTTAGTTCTTAAACGGTATTGCAATTGATGTTTCAATCCTTGAGTTTTCTCAAAGTATCCCCCAGCCGATAGCAGAAAATTAAATTAATCCTTTCGAGGCATAGAGATCTCTAGAGTGGGTTTTACCTCTACTAACAAATTTTTTTTTCATATACACGACCGGAGATTAAACCCCTGTCAGTATGTTTAAGGAACTCAATCATTTACCAACTGTACAATCGGACTTTGTCGGTAATAATGTTTTAATCCTTGCTAAGACATAATTAGTGAGGAGTTATTAAATTCAATAATTAACTCAGTTAAGGTACTGAATCAGTGGTTGAATTGAATTTACGTAAAGAAACATAATAAATATATATAAATAAATATAAGAGTTATGTTATATTTACAAATTCTTACAAACTACACTATATTCCGCGAGTAATACATACTCTTTTAGTATGTACTACTTGTAGTGCATAATATAATTTATAAACAAAAAATTTATAAATATAACATACCTCTAAAAATAATATGCCAACTAAAATAGTGATATGGGTTAGTGATTAACATTATTGTCACAATTTTTAAGAATTAGTTAGTGGTCCGGTGGTAATAACATTGCCTTCAATGGTGAAAGTTTATTATCATTGCTATACAAAAGGAAAATTTTGATGATATTCAATTCAAATATAATAGTTAGATAAATTAAAGTGGTATAAATTATTTATTTACTCAAAAGTTGATAGCAGTGTTGGCAATAATTCTACCTGTATAAATTTTTGAAGAAAAAAAAAGTCACTTTATCATATAAAAGGTGATGCATAGCAAAAGGTGATCAAACAAAATGATCTTCAATTCGAGGCCGTGATAAGAAAAGAAAAATTGTTTAATTAATTGTCAAACATCAAACTTAGCCGGTTAAGTATCGTCCCCTTTTCATGAAGACCATGTTAGCTTTTCTCTCTCATTCTCAGCCCATATATATGTAAGTACGAACTTAATTCATTAATGTGCCTGTCTGCAGCCTCACTTAATTCATTAAGAGTCCAAATTCCATTTTCTTTTTTGTTTTGTTTTTTTTTTTTTCCCGTTAACAGTCAAAGTTTGAAGAGGAGGTTTAGCTGTTTAAGCAAATGGAAAAGCTGAATTTTATTAAAAATGGGGTGAGCAGATTGCCTCCTGGATTTCGTTTCCAGCCAACAGATGGAGAGCTTGTCTTTCAGTACTTGAAATGTAAGATCTTCTCATTCCCCTTGCCTGCCTCTATCATTCCTGAGATCAATGTCTGCAACTACGATCCTTGGGATTTGCCAGGTACCTAACAACTCCCAAAATTTACATAATAAAAGGTTATTTATTTTATTTCGAAAATTTCAAAATAATATTATCTTGAATTGCACGAGATAATCATAATTTTTTTTCATATTTATATATAGAGTAAGATTATATTGATAATTTTTTTTTTACAAACTTACAAACTAAATTATGTCTTACTGATAAGACTCTACTCAAGAGTGTCTTACTGGTAAGACATAGTGTAGTTTATAAGAGTTTGTAAACAAAAAGTTTGTAAACAAAAAGTTTGTAAATATAACATTCTCCATATATAGAGATAGGATCAACTTACACTAGTATAAGAATAATAAATCTTACACCAAATCTTAACCATTGATTTCCGTGCATCCAACAGTTGAGATTTATTAGAAATTAAAAATTAATTAATGAGTGAGACCTAATAAATCTTAACCGTTAGATACAGAAAATCAATGGTTAAGATTTGGTGTAAGACTTATTATTCTTACACTGGTGTAAGATGATCCTGCCCCATATATATATATATATATATATATATATATAGGGGCAGGATATTCTTACACCAGTGTAAGAGTTATAACTCTTACACTCAATCTTGACCATTGATCTACTTGTATCAAATGGCTCACATTACTAAAAAATTTGAACCCTTAGATATAAGTGGAATCAGTGGACAAGATTGAGAGTGTAAGTTACACTGGTGTAAAATGATCTTGACCCATATATATATATATATATTTGAAATGGAGAAAAAAAATGTAGAATTGAAAAAATTGATAATGGTAAAAGATTAATATAATATAACCCTAAAGTTATTTCATGTACAAGATTGCTAACTTAAACCTTAAGCAACCTCTCGCTGACATTGCAATAATAATTCTGATATCATTTAACAAAATAAAGGAGAAAATTAAGTCATTAAAATTGTTCTGCTGCTTAATATGCTAAGGTCTTGCATGTTAAAAATAACGAGGAACTTAACGATTCTTGTTTAATATGTGTGTTTAATTAGGAAATTGTGACCAGCAAGAGAGGTACTTTTTCAGCTCCAAGGAAGCAAAGTATCGAAATGGCAATCGCATGAACCGAACAACAAACTGTGGCTATTGGAAAGCAACAGGAAAAGACAAAAAAATATCATCTTCAACGTGTAATGGTATTGTGGGGATAAGAAAAACATTGGTTTTTTATGAAGGGAAATCGCCAAATGGGTCTAGAACTCATTGGGTCTTGCACGAATATCGCCTAGTCAGTGTAGAAACTAGTGCTTGCAACTCAAACCAGGTAAGTTAAAGTTTCGTCAATTATTTTAATTTTCGTTTGTAACGCAATACAAAAATCATTATATGGAAATATATTTAATGCTTTTGTACATATATATATGTTGGCAGAACCACGTAAACGAGATAGGAGATTGGGTTCTATGTCGCGTATTCATGAAGAAAAGAAGTATAGAAAGTGATGGCAGCACCACTCACATGCATAGGCAAAATACAGTTCGGGCTCCTCCAAGAATGTTTGATTTTATGATGGTAAGCAAGACCGATTCTTCTACATCTTCCTCATGTTCAAGTTCCAGTAACATCAGAGAGGTCTCTTCAAATGCATCAGACCATGAAGAAACAAGTGGTTATGCTGATTTATAAGAGCAGTATATAATGATCACTTGTTTGCAAATTAGTCTTATGTTCTATATCCATTAGAGAAAATAGATCATATGCCAGAGGATACGCAAAGTGATTTGCTCCACGCACCAGAAAGAACGGTCATTATAATGAATGTATCATATGCTTGTTTCCTATCATAAATATTAATCTTGTAATGTGCTTATTTTCCTGAATTTAGTTGTACTTTCAATAATGAGCTCAATCTGGTCATAAATTATAAGAATAGAACTAAATGAGTATTTGAATTTCGATTCCATTACAAATAACTTTTATTTTATTTTATTTTTTGTCTTAAACCATGTGGACCAGACCACAACCACATAAGTGTTTTTCTCCAATCGGTAATGATTGAAAGACTCTTTTGTCAAGATTAATTTTATTGTTTCCTATAACGTAGTGTCTATGTACATGCATAAATATGATGTTACATGTGCCGTGGTAACATTTTTCCAAATTAATTTTAGATTAGTTTTTGCAGTATTTATAAAATCCTAAATAATAATTAAAAGGGAAGGATCCGTTTATACATTTTTTTTTACAAACTTTTGCAAATTACAAATGTACTCCTGGAAGTACATAGTGTAACCTAGTATATTTTCGGGAGTACATATTGTAGTTTGTAAATAAAAAATTTATAAATATAATCCTCCCCATAATTAAATATGAATTTTGGCAAATATATTATTACAAAAATATTTATAAAAATTGTTAGAAAATTGGAGGTGTTACGGCCACTGAATCAAATCAATTTGCAAAATCAAACACTCTTGGAACATATGGTAAGGAGTCTGAGCCCTTAACTAGAGGTCTCGAATTCGAATCCTGAGAATGAAAAAAAATAAATTGGAAAAGCTTTTTAATTGAAGCCTGCGAGCTTTTTATTAAACGAGTTTTTATATATATTCAAGTCTGGTTCGCTTTTATATATATTCAAGTCTGGTTCCAACATGTAAGCTCAGACTTGTTCGGAGGCTACCATCATTTGGTGGTGATCCTAAATTTCTATTAGCACATTTAGTTTCCTTCACGTACCGGCCAGCTTTACTTCATGTCCTCGTTATCTTTTTTTAATTATTACCTTTATTAGTGAAGATGTATATGCATGTCCATCAAATTACGATCATATATGATGATAATAATAATAATATTATTATTATGAAATAGTTAAACCCAAAATTTAAGATGTTAATTGAATTTACCTTCCTTATTTGACTACATTTGATTATGGAATTCCTTTTAAAAAAATAAAGTGTTTTTCTTTGCTCTTTTCGAAACAAACACATGTTTGCTTCTTATCCTTTTAATCCCTATGAAGTTGACTGTCCTTAGAAATGAAATTCAATTTGAAGTCATTTTTTTTTAATCTTAATTTGAAGGTTAGTTTTTTTTTTAATACTTTTCACCAGTTAAAATAAAAGTTGTAGAACTATTGGGTCAAGTGGAACAAATACCAAATTTTTAAATTTAATTATCAAAATAATTTTTAAAAAAATTACTATTTGTGTTAGATAAAAAATGTCTGAAGCACTTCGAATCATCAGGTATTGAAAAGGAATTTGCTCTATACTTTATAGAGATGTCGTCGAGGCATACTACAAAAGGATTCAAATCATTGCATATTGAGAATGCATATTTGATCATACACTGAGTTGGTCGAGAATCACATTAGCTAGGGAATTATTTCTCTCATATTGTTGGAGAGAATTCCTATCCTATACCGAGACAAATAAAGTGGAGTCCATTGTTAAAAAGAAAAAAAGAAAAAGAAAAAGAATAACTCTTCTTTTGATATGAGGAGAGCATGATCAGAGTACTATCTTATGTCAAATGAGAAAATAATTTTTCATTCACTTATTGGGTTATAAATTCAAAAACATCTGCCTTAATCAAATTTATGACTCATTAAACATGACTGACATTTTCAAGGAAGTTATCATAAAAAATCTAATCTTAACTAAATTTATGATTCATTAAACATCCTGACGAACGTTTTAGAGGAAGTTGTCATATTTGGAGAGCTAAAATTTGTGATTGCTTGAAACTTGATTGATTTATGTTTTTTTAAAAATATTGTTGGATTATCTCTCCTTAATTAGATACAAGTTTCAATGCATGGAATAATGAAAAGGCTTCATGGGAAAATGAAAGGACTTCATGGGAGAACGAAGAGTTGTATTGAAATCCTCCAGATTAAATGAAGAAGACTCTGGGTGAAGAGATGAGATTAACAAATTGAGGGGAAGAAATCCTCCATGAGAGAAAGAATCCGAGTGAATACCTCTAAGGAGAAGTTTGAGTGAGACCTCTCTAGCAGTGTTTTAAAACTCCACCCCGCCCCCGGGTTGACCCGGGTCAACCTGACCCCTCCCCTCTGAGGGTTGGGGTCACAAGTTGGACCCTATATGCACATCGACCCCTCCGACCCCCAAAACCCGGCCAGGTTTCAGTGACTCCCGGGTCAGAGGGGTCAAAGGGGATTACTGTATGTTTTTTTTTAAAGAAAATTCCATGAAACAAAATTGTTTTATTAAAAAAATAAAATAAAAATGCTTGCAAACCTAAATCTAATCGTTCTCTTCTCTCCCAGCAACCTAGACTTGTGGTATCTTGATACTTTGGTATCATTAGAATATGAATTTTGTACTTTGGTATCTTAATACTTTAATTAGGTTGTGTAATATTGACTTGTGGTTGTAATTGATGAATTATGTTAAATATATTTTGAATCTTTAATGATTGGTGATTTGTTTTTTAATATTTTCATATAAGATATATATATTTATATTTTTTTAATATATAAAAACGGGTCAGCGTAGTGACCCCGTGACCCCCCGGTTGAAGGGGAAGGAGATTCAAGGGGAAGGGAGGGGAAGGAAGGGAAGGTAATTGAAGGGTATTCTCTTCTCTTGTTTAAAATTAAAAAAATGGTAAGGAAGAAATTAGAGAGTCAATGAAATATTTTTACAATTTTACCCTTTTATAAAAATTAATATAATTATTTATTTTACAAATAAAATTAAATGTAAAATTTTTAAAAAAATTATTTATATATTTTTCACACTACTAAAAAAGATCATATTTTCGAAGAAAATTTTACGTTGCAAACGATGAAAATACCGTCAATTTTTTTTCCGACAGAATACATTTCATCGAGAGGCGACAGAAGTTTTATCCAATGAAATTTTTTACAAAAATAAATTTTCTGTGAAAATTTACGACGGAATTTAGTTTCCATCAAAAGTTTTGACGAAAATGATTTGTTAAATATTTTCAACGATCAAAATTCCATCAAAAGTTTTGACGGAAAAAAGAATTCCGTCAAAAAATTTAATGGAATATTTTTCGTCAATTTTTTTTGATGAAAATGTGTCCCAACGAAAATTTTGATGAAATTAGATTCCGTAAAGAAATTTAACAGAATATTTTTTTGTCGAAATTTTTTACACAAATATTTTTCGTCGAATTTTTTACGAAAATATTTTCCATCGAATTTTTTTTACAGAAATGTGTTTATTTGAAGATTTTGATAGAAATATTTTTTGTTGAAAGTTTTGCCGGAGATATTTTCAATGGAAATGTGTTTCGTCGAAAATTTCAGAAGAAATTTTTTCCGTAAAAAAGTATGATGAAAATATTTTCGTCGAAAACTTTTGACAGAATTTAGAAAGAATTGTGACGATTTTTTTTTCTGCCAAAATTTTGTACACAAATCTTTTTTGTCAAAACTTTTTACAAAAATTTTCAATGGAAATGTGTTTCGTTAAAAATTTCGAGGGAAATTTTCTTCATCGAAAATTTCGACGAATATGTTTTTTTGTGAAATATTTTAACGGAATTTAGTTTCTGTACAGAATTTTGACACAAAATTTTGTATCAGAATTTTTTACAAAAATACTTTTTCGTCACAAATTTTTACAAAAATATTTTTTGTTGAAAATTTTCACTGGAAATGTGTTCCATTGAAAATTTTGATGGAAATGTTTTCTGACAAAATTTTTTATGGAATTAATTTCTGTCAAAAAATTTGGATGAAAATATTTTTGCTTGAAAAGTTTGACAGAAATATTTTCGTTGAAAGTTTCAACAGAATTTAAATTCTATCAAGAATTTTGACTGAATTTTTTTCCTAAAAAAATTTGTGTTAGTAATTATGGCCAATTCTTGTTTCGTCTCTATTTTCGACGTAATGTGATTTTTGTCAAAAATTTCGTCGTCACTATGTTTGACGAAATATTTTTCGTTTGATAAATTTTGTCCGTATTTGAGACTTTTCTAATAATGTCACATTTAAAAATGATTCATATTTATGTAGTTTTCACATTTTAATGCTAAGGTTAGATAAATAATTTTTAATATTTCCTCCCTTAAATCTCTCAAATTGAGAGAACTTTAATTTTAAGGGTGAGAAGGGTTTTGGAGGATTTTGCAAAAATTTCCAATTTCCTTCCCCTATTTTTTTAAACTCACAAACAAAGAAGAGCTTAATAAAACTTTCAATTTTCCTTCTTTCCCCCCCCCCCCCAAAAATCAACTCCCAAATAAAGCCTTTTTAAGGGTGAGAATAGAGAACAGCGGATGCAGCAAGGCTATACCATCCTGTCCCCGCTGCTCCCACAAATTAACACCTCCATTGGAGCCTCCAAAAATCATGTTATTTAAAAAGTAAATTCAAAGTGTTCTTTAATGAAAAATTTCAATCAAATGATTAAAATAAAGAATTTAATTTTAATATATTGTCATTGTAAAATTTTGTAGGGAATTTTTTTTTAAAATCCCTTGTGATTTTTCTTATATTCATTTATCCCCTTGTGATTAGAGTACTATCTTATGTCAAATGAGAAAATAATTTTTCATTCACTTATTGGGTTATAAATTCAAAAACATCTGCCTTAATCAAATTTATGACTCATTAAACATGACTGACATTTTCAAGGAAGTTATCATAAAAAATCTAATCTTAACTAAATTTATGATTCATTAAACATCCTGACGAACGTTTTAGAGGAAGTTGTCATATTTGGAGAGCTAAAATTTGTGATTGCTTGAAACTTGATTGATTTATGTTTTTTTAATATATATTGTTGGATTATTTCTCCTTAATTAGATACAAGTT